CGAATTTCGTGGGAATCAAAAGCCCGAATTTGTCGCATTTAGACGGAATCCTCTTTCGCGGAGATCAATATTTTTCCTCGGTCTCCGCGTGAGAGAGCGAGCCGAGTGACTTACAGATACATTGTAGTCGCTACGGAATGCAATTACATTGTCCGCACGAACGCGAGGAATGCGCCGAGAATAAATACGAGTTTTTACAACGTCGAACTGGACCGTAGGCGAGACTGACGACCCTTGTTCAAACTTTTCGACGATACCGCGCCGCATGTTTAAACAGGAAGAGAGGTTTGTTATTCTTCATCCACCTCTCTCTTCACCGTTTCCTTCACCATCAATTAAAATTATTTCTTGAGATTTCATTTATTCACGCTGTATTCGCTTGTCTCTTAATTTTTGTATTTACACTTGCTACATTACTTTCGTCACAAGATTGTTAAACTTTAAACAATAAAATTCGTAGGACTCTGAAATCACGAAGAAATAAAGGATGTAAGAGCCGAGACAGGATGTTAGTGTCTAAAATGATTTTAATTTTAAAATTTATTGCGAAAAATTCACCTCAGCCAGGGTATTAAATTTTAATATTAAATCGCTTCCTTCCATCTCCTGACGAAATTAGTCGATGGTTATTCACGTTTTGCAGCACGGCCTGTTCGAGTGTTTACACGTCTGTAATAATTCATCGAGTACGGTTAAAGGTACTTTCTTGTGGTATCCGAGGCACCCGCGCGGCCGTCGCGCGAGATTTTTACTCGACACTTAAAAACTCGTCGATACGGATCCCCCGTCCTCCCGCATCTTGACCTTTCGCTGGCGGAATCGCGAAACAATGCCGACACTCGCGCGGAAACAATGCGCGCACGGATATTCCTAGGTCGCGGCTGACCTCCGATACAAGACCCGCCTTGAATTCTTGCGAAGGCCCCCGCGCGAGTAAATGCACCAGCCCCGGACGGGCACAGGCACGCGAATAATGCACATAAAGGGGAAATTTAGCGACTCGCGTATGCGGTAAATATATGCGGTGTAGCGCCTGATGTGGTCCCCAAAATCTCCTCGATCTGTCTGGCGACGCAACGATCTTCGCGAGGAGTGTCAGGCACCATAGACATACTCAGATAGCACAAGACACTCCTATGAACATTTGAAGAATATTCTTCAAGAATATTTGGAATAAATATTCCACAGGTCATTCTTATATATTTATCTTACGTTCGTGGAATATTCGACTGGCGTTACTATAAATCTTTTTCGAATGTGAATAGAATAATCTATCGTGTCGGTTATACATATATGGTGTGATCACTGGTTTCACTGCCTTTTGCATAAGATAAGTGTATTACACAATAAACAATGTGCAATAAATAAACTCGATGAATATTAAAAAATTATTCTGAACCAATATATCTATCTATATATATTTATAGAACATTCGATTGAAATATTCTGAAATCAAAAATATTTGCACTTTAGAAGAATATTCATAGAACTATGTGTGCTATCTGGGATAGTAATACTAGACCGAGCATGTTCTCTTTTAAGCAATGAAGGTAGAAAAGGATAGAAAGTAGGTGCCGTCGACCTTTCTCTTTTTATTCTTCTCGTTAGACAGAGAAAGGTGGACGGCACCTATTTTCCATTCTTTTCTACCTGAGCCTCAGGTCTGGGCGTCTCATGCTCGGTCTAGTATTACTGTGTCTATGGTCAGCACCACGAAAAGCGCATCGATACGGGAATATATCGATAGGTACCTCACTGCAAAAAGAAGCGGTGACTAAAAACTTTACACTCGTAAAAAGTTCGTCTGATTATCTTTAAAAACTTCAATCTAATGGTTTCGAAATAAGGAGTTTAATTTAAGAAAAATTTAGGATTTTCACAGAAAATTGTTCTCATGTTATATTGGGAAAAGTTCTCTATTACGAGATAGCAGGTTTTCAACATCCAAATTCAATCACAAATATTTTTCTCGCAACGATTGCACGATCTAATTAATTTTCCACTAAATAGATTTTCTTCCAATAAATTAGTGCAACCAACAGATGATGCCTATTAGTTCAGTAGAAATTTCGCTATCTAATTTAGAACCTTATACGAGAAAAGTGCGATTTTGAAAGGACACGACAATGTCCAAATTTTTTTAATTTGAAAATTTTTGGGTCTTTGTAAGATATTAATTTAACATTGTATTATATTGCAAGTGTGTATAAGATAATCGTACATTTTGCTGATAAGATAAATTAAACTGTTGGCAACTTAAAAGTTGTTCCAATTTCGATGAAATGGCAACCTCGCGGGAAGCTATCAGATCGAATATTTCGTTGACGGCAGCTCGACGGAAAGTAATGTTATTACAGTCTTGAATGCGGATTCTGAAATGCAAAACGTCCCCTCAAATGTTCCTTTTTTCGTAGGAACAAACGGTAGCCGAGGGAAAATAAAATCGCGGCGTGTCGAGACGGCGCCGTTAAATTCGCGCGTGGTTGATCATCGTCAGCGACGTGTCAAGTGAAACGTACATGTTACGTTCGCTCGCACCGTGCGCGATGATGGAGTGTAAACGCGGCCGAAAAGCCCGATGAAACTTGAGCCGTGTTCAAGATATTTCGTGATCCGTATCCGGCGTGGAAAAACCTGAAGAAGGCGGGGTGATATCCTTGCCATCGTGAGAGCGTGCTACCACGAAGGTCGTCCCGCTCATTCGCAAGGTCGGTTATTCATCCGCGCCCGTTGCACAAGGATTTCGTTAAATGCGCTTTATATTCCCCGCCAGTCATCGTCGTCATCGTCCCGTATCGTAACGGAGAAACACCGGAACGGACAGCCGTTCCGGGAATTTTACCGCGTCGGACCCGCAACCAGTTCCGCGACTGCCTCTCGGTTTTCTATCCCGTGGGATCGTCCCGAAGGAGCGGCCGTCTAACTTTCGATGATTGTCGTTCTCGAGAACTTGAATCCTCGCGAATCAATTTTGACAAATGGCCCGATGCCACGTACAGAGAAGAAAGAGATTTCAAACGGCGATGCAATTGTAAACTTATCTCCAATTGTTGATGTGGAATCGTACGCGAAGGGAATTTTTTCCCAAAATTTGTCCTGAAAATCATGCAATTGTGGGACAACCTGGCATTCGAATTTTATGAGTTTGTTGAAATTTTATCATACATTCTACTAGTAAAATGTATGGATAAAATATAAAAAAAAACTCATAAAATTACGCAGATGTCCGTGCGAAATTAACCAATGTGGAACTTTTTAATCACTTTATTAATTAATATCAAAACGTTTCGATCCATTCTCAGGTCATCATCAGTGAGGCTAAATAGACCCAAAATGTACGACGCTTAAATGAAATACCGTTATCGAGAGTTATCCTCCAACAAGTTCAAAACCATTCTTTAAATGGTGACGGAACCGAAAGAGAACAGTCGCGACGAGCGGTAAATGACCGAATTCGGTCGAACGGCGGTTGGCTCGCACTGGCCCTTTCTCCTTACTGTTTGTTTTATTGAGAGCCGTTACTACAATTCGGATTATCTCATAAAATTGCTCGAAATGCCAAGTTGTCCCACAAATTATATTATTTTTAGGATAAATTTTAAGAGAGAAAAATTTCGTGTGAACTTTGCCGCACAAGCCAGTACTTTGATAATATCATAGTGTCACGTTGACAACGTCGCTCTATCGTTATGTTCGAAAATATGTGGGGGCAAAAATAAAAACGACATTGAAAATGTTGCAGTTACGTACGAAATCACTCGTACAATTAGTCGTTAAATTATCGTTAAATATACTCGTTAAACGTGCGCAGCGTGATCGCGAACGTTTGACTCGCTCATCCGCCCGTTTTATTTTTCGAGATAGAGACATTTCGTAAGATTCATCGTATCTCACAGCAGTGGCCTCCGATGACGTCCCGAGCCGTTTCTTTGTTGATGAAACCCACTTTGATGGGTTGTAACGCTAACATTTTTGCCGAAAGCTGTTAATCGCGGGCACTAAACAACTTGTTAATTAAGGTCTTAAATTACAATTTAAATAGAATTTAAATGGTCATATATGATCCGCGCACTGCAGAGAAGCGCCAGCGGTGCGGTCGTTAAGGGCACGTGGGCCGTATTTCCAGAACGCGGAGGTTTTATAGAACATCGTCCGTCTGCGAACGGCGATTTACACATGACCTTCGGTTTGCGGTAACGAGCGCTGTACGCGACTAATTAACGTGCTTTGATACGCCACTCTTTTTGCAAGCCCGTAAAATCAACGTCGACTCCCCTGCAAATGTCCGGGATGCGAGCGTAACGTGCGTAGGTTCGCATTAATATTTATGAATTGTCATTACATGTTCTGTGACCAGCCTGATGACGTCTGATGACAGACGGACTCGCGCGGGTCCAATTGCGAAAGAGTTTTTTCGAGTGTCGGTAAAAGTGCTTTTTCATACTTTTGCGAAGATAGAGCGCAATTTTGAAGAGTTTCGTGTCAGTATGTAAAAATATTAATTGTCATGTAAGATTTACTAAAAATGACGCGATTAATTTGCACATTCGAGTTTAAAGGGATATTTTTCAGTGCGGCTCAGCAGTCGTGTCTGTGTTGCTTTGCCTTTTACAAAATAGCGGAGTGAAGAATTCCGTCGAGGGAGCGGCGACTCAAAATTCCCAGGTTCAGGAAAAACTCCGTTCTTAATCTCTGTAATAAAAATGTATATTCTATCAAGATATATTGTCGGAAAGCCCTCGGAATCTCGAGAGCGGTAATATATTATGTATCCTTTGTATTCTCCTCTGCTCTATTGGTGGCTGCCAGGTATTCGAGCCAGGTATTAACATAATCCGAGATCGAAGTCAACCGGGATGAATCGGGACGTCGCGGTCGGAGGGAGCGTCGCGGCGCGGCGCGGAGATTAAGGATCGCGCGCTAGAGAGAGGGTAGAGCGGGCTCCCTCGCGATGGCAGGAGGGAGGGGAGCGCTGATAGAGGCGATCGGCTCTCTCAGATCAGCTGTGAGAGCGGCGTGGCGCCGTGTGCCGCGGCTCTGACCCGCTGTCAGTTGCCCGAGCCCTGTGCTACGGTTAGGACCGCGTGTAATCGTCACCTTTTACACGGCGGCGCGTCGAAACTAGCCACGGGCCGTCGCGCCGATCCGCGTCGTCCTCGGCAGCCAGCACGTCCTTCGCGTCCCCGTTACGAGATATCGGCGATCGGCCGCGCGATCGACGGCATCCGAGAGAGGCGAAAGGCCAACTGCGCGGGGAGCAGCGATCGAGAGCGGGTGTGATCGACCGTAATCCGACCTCCGATCGGACCTCCGTCACCACGAAGGAGAGCGAGAGAGGAAGAGAGAGATAACTTGGCATGTCGTTAAATCGTTAAAAAGTCAATAATCGTCGATCGCTATCAGCGAATTTCCGAGCGAGCGTGTCCTCTCTCTCTCTTTCTCGTCGAGAGTCGCGAGTCGCGAGTCGCGGAGAAGGGCAGCTCGAATTAAGGGCGCGATTGGTGTGATTTTGGACTTTTTTTTTCCTCTCATTCTCTTTTGTGTGCCACGTGGAGAAGTGAGGACCTGCCTCGACTCCCGGTGGAGTCCCAGCGGGTGGTGCGAGCTGACGACGCGTCCAGGATGGTCTGGTAGAGGAGAGCGAGCAACCCCCTCGTTCGAGAGCGCGAGAAATGGCGTGCGGCATATCGGTCGACGCGATCGCCACGAGCACGGCGCTTCTCCTGCTGGTAAGCCCCCGCGTATTGCTATTTTACGACGCGATCGGACCTCGGAGAGCGTCGATAACGCGCTTTCACGAGGGCGTAGCCGATGGCGACGGATCCGGCGTGGTAGGCCAGAGTTCCCTGCTATCTGTCACGCGCGTCTAAAGTACCCCGGGTTTACGAGCTTCTCGGATAATAAAACGTTTCTTGAAAAATTAATAGAGCGGTCCGGGCGCGATCTCGCCGGGCCCCTGTGAAATACGGTGGGACTTAGAACGACATGGATAAAGGGAAATAATTATATAACGCCCGTTCTTTCGTTAGCAATGAGATCTGTGCTATTGGCTCTCGTGAAATCTCGCGTATACCTTCGTATGCGAAGTGGCATTCACACACGGCGCGTGCAACGTGTCGACTGGTGTACGTGGCTGGAGTCAAGGATAACGTCGTTATCTAGCCCGTGCCCGCTATACTTACATCGCGTATACCTGCGCGGATACACGTAGATACACAATCAACGTCGCCGTCGCGGGCGAATGCCGCTTTCGTTATGCAAGCGCGGAATGTTAACTTATCGCCGCGGTCCCTGCGAGCGTTCATGCGCCTTTTTCTTACGTAATGCGGCGTAAGATGAGACCAACGGGAAAAAATTTCGCGAGCCGTACATTTTATAGACGAGTAAGGCTGTTATTACATTTGTCGCGCGACAAATCTTTTAAGCGCGTCGACCGCGGCTGCAGGGGCTCGATTCTTCAATTCGTTCGAAAGAGAAACGCACGCGAAAATTCTGCTCTTACGGAAAAGTCGATTGGCTATTCGCGCGTGGTTTTTAAACCAATCGACTTTCAACTTTTCTGCGAGGGCAGCGTTCTCGCATACGTTCCTCTTTCGAATGAATTCGAGAATCGAGCCCCAGGATAATCGAATTTTCGAGTATCTAGAAATTTTCTATCCAGCAGCTAATCAACACACTTGGAAAATTTGTCGCACGATAAATGTAATAGCACCCTAATAGGAGCAAGAGAGAGAGAGAGAGAATGAACCTTATGATATTTACATAAGGTGTATCCAGCAAACGTCAAAGTGAACCCAATTTATGTAATCGGCAAAATGTGCCGAACTGAATTAAATCAGTCTCAATAATGAATAAATTGCTTATAATTAGGCAACTAATTTGTAAGTCATATTAGATAATTTATGAGTGGGAGAAGAGTTATATCAGAAGTTGATGTTAAAACTGGAATAATTATTTATACAGGTTTATTTACATATTATTTATACGTATAGGTTTGTATCCCAGGCTGTTTTGCAGCTTTCAGTTCCAGACACGTTGATTGAAAACAGACGTAGAATGTGCTCTCTTCTCGTAGGACCGTGTTTCTTTGCGACGTCGAAGCAATTCATAAAATAAAGATGTTTCGTAGGACAAATGTGTACATGTGTCGCGACTTATGCGAATACCATGTCAGGTTTCTTCCGCCGTGCGTATAATCGTTAGCAGTAAGTAATTGGCGATGGAGACACATTATTGGTGTCTCTCGAAATTAATTTTAAAGGGATAGTGGCATTAATAAAGCCTCCTGGTGGCATTAATGCTATATTTAACTATATCGAATAAATTTGCTCTTTTGAGATTTAAAAAGACGATACAAGTTAGTATTATGTTCGTACAGTTTGTTATTTCTTTAAGGAGGTAAATTAAAATACATTGTTCAAGTCAATGGCGAATTTTCAGATTTAAAAATAATTTGAAACAAATTGTGTGCAAAATTAACATATTTTTAATGACAAAATGAATTTTAAACAATGTAATTTTTACATTTTACAGATGTAATAAGTCGAATGACGATTCAAAATCACATTTTATTCTGTAAATTTTAATAGATAAATCTTGTTACTAATAATATAGAACATATGTATTGTGTAAGATTAAAAAATAAGTACACATCGTGTTGTTTTAACTTTTTTTTTCAGTTATTTTAATAATTTTACATTTGAGGTCAATTAACACAAGAGCAATATGTTAAATTAACACATGAATGTGTTAAACATTTAACACAAATTTCAACCGGCATTTTTTAAAACACGAAAACACAAATGTTCCAACTGTGTATGATTTCATAATAATGCATAAAACTCTTTCGCGTATTTAATTAAGATTAAGATTTAATTAATAACAGATACTTACTCGGTAGTAATAAGTGATGTGCACGTTATTCACGGAGCCACTTTGATTCAATTGATTGAGCCAATTGAGATTCTTTACATCTTCCTTCTCGCCTGTATTAATTTTTTACTTCTTTTTCGGCGAATTGAAGGTCCTATCGCGATTGCACACGATTATGTGATTGCACACGGACAAACTTAAAGCGAGAGATATTTCGCTTAAATGTATTAATTATTGACGGGCCGGCGTACTATGAGGCGGCGATTCAATTAATTAACGTTCATGAGCGTATGACAATTACGAGGCCGCCGATCGCAAAGTAATCCGGTTCTTGGCAACTGGTTTGTTCGCGCGAATGTTTCTCATGTGTGACATGAAAGCGCAACGCTTCAAACGTACATTTTCGCGGTGCATCTGAAATGCACGTGTAGTCTCGATTCTTTTTTCAATGGTCGCCATTGAAAAATCCTGCATAATAAAGCTAGATTTATGGACGCGTAAAATACAATTCGAAACGCGTACGCTTGTATACGTAAAATAAATAATTAATTTACTAAATTCATAGTACGACTTGACAACGAACGTAACATATTATGTTTGAAATTGAAGATAAAAAACGAACGGTGTCTTTGATTATTATATTGTGTACAGTATAAAATTTGATTATCATTTTCTGCATAATATAACATTATGTTATACATAAAAGGGTATGACATGGACATTGCTAGAATAATAATTTCATTAAGAAATCCATTGTGAGCAAATAGCTTTACGCAAAATCAATTTCGAGAATAGATAGTAAAGACATATGCTTTTGAAATATCTTGAAACAACGTCCACCTTACTAGAAAATTGATTTGCAATCTAGTAGCGAAAAAAGGTTATAAAACTGCATGGAAAAAAATTGAAAACACGTTAGAGAATCAGCGTGAGTCCCTTTAAGAAACGAAAGAAACCGAACGGCTAAGCTGAACAGCCTATAGAACTCTTTCGTTTCTGTACAATATTTCGAACACACATACCATACGTAGTTTTTACATTCAACTTTTGTCCTATATGGGCTTACGTCGTGTGCGACGGTGCTGTGTAGGCGGGTGCATCTAAAAACTGCAAATTTAAAGTGTAATAATTTATCCGTAAATATACGAAAAGCTAAGCACGTTCCGGTGCCCGCGAGAGAATCATTCGGCCAAGGGCAATAGCATTCGGTTGAAGAGGATTCCCATATGAACGGCCAGCCGTCTCGTCTAACATATGTAATCCTAACACAATCCGCAAACACGCGCCACTGTGACGCGACATCGTGCGAGGGGCACACACGGGCGATCTTCGACGTACAAAATGTCTCTCATCTGGAATCTCGTTTCGTAAATGCATTTTCCGAAGCCGATTCGCGTTACGTTCGTTACTCCGGCATATTTATGGAAGTTAATGAGAAAAACGTCGCGTAACTTGCACAAAAGTTACTTTACGCCATAAACAAGTTATTGCACTAAATCCGATATTTCCCCCCACTGACATATCGGATTTCGTAGATTTAGCATTTTTTTCCCCCGCAAACCCCTACAGTAATTGCCAGCATTAAGGCATATATGGATTAACGGTATTCGAAAGAATTTTGAATCCCGCCTTCCACGCGCACCACTAATTAAGATGCCCCGAGGGAGCAAATTGCAATATAAACAAAACCGAACTGACGACACGACGGGATGTCCGAGTCATTTTCTTAATTCACAACGCCGACCGAGGCAGTTTCTTTTAATTAACGCGCCCGCGCTCCGTTACAGAGGCCCAAGGTAATTGGATAATGAGCGCTTTAAGGATCAATGTTATTTATAAGATACGCGGATTTAACCGGGACCGGAAGTGACGAAATTCAACGCAGTAGCATCTTTCGCTTAATTAAAATACGTGTAGTGGTCAATAAAAATCGATGCAAAATAAAGATACATCGCCCATAGCGTTAAGAGATAATTCTCCCAGCCTAATGCGATGATTCTGATAAAGTGGAAATATATTTCGTTGAGTTTTTACCGTCTTTCTTCTTTTAATCGCCGCAAATAGCGGCGACGCGTAAAGGACTGATGGGAATAGCTCGTCTATTCAGTTTTAAGATTAATCAAGATCTTATCGGCGAATACCTTGTTATCTTTCCAATAGATATATGAGGTCACACGTGTATCCCCCACAGATTTCTGTACACTGCTAGACTACCACCTTCGAGCTGAAAAGTGAGGCAAGAGTTCCGCCATGTCTTGTTAGATAAAGTAGTATGTGTGCCTGACTTTTTCAGCTCGAAGGTAGCAGTCTAGTAGTAGAGGAAAGTCCTCTATTATGAGATGGGACTCTAATACGAGAAAATCCATTCTCGCGACGATTACACGATCTAACAATCAGTTTTCCACTAAACAAACTTCACTCCGAAGGTAATAAATTCATGGTAGAATCAACAGACGGTGCCTATTAATTTAGCAGAAACTCCGCCATCTCGTATTAGGAGCCTGGCTCATAATAGGTGACTTTCCTCTGTATAGAAGTCTCTGGTATCCTCCCTTGTATTTCCAAGGTGGGGTTTTGAAACATAGTTGCCCCGATCGGCCCGCTCTTTAATACGTGTAATAAGTTACGAAACCGCCGTTACACGCGATAAATCCGCCGTGTATTCCGCACCATTACGTCCGATGAGAGTCACGAAAAGAAGCGGGGATGTGAACGCGATGTTTAAATACCGATTTACGCCGGCCGAACGCGGGTGTCGCTTGAAAAATTGTCTTGAAAACGCGAGACGCCCGCGCGCCATACAAGTGGCCTTCCGCGGCGGGTGGTAGACACATAAACATATCTCTCCAACAGAGAG